CTGCCAGCTCGCTTTTCTTGAATTTGATGAATGTCTTTTGATGCCTCCCAATTCATGCAATAAGAAATTTATGGAGGCCAGCAATGAATTGTAAGCTGGCTGTTATATTCATTGAAAAATAAACCAAGGATAACGTAATCTCACTTACTCTGCAGTGCTGGAGGGAAACCAGGGGCTGTTCGCACATGTCAGGGGTGTAAAGGACGTGGTATTAAGGTGACTATTCGGTCGATTGGTCCTGGCATGGTACAACAGATGCAGTCTTCTTGCAATGAATGTAGTGGCGAGGGTAAGGAATTTTGTCCATCTAAGTTGTCCTTTAATGCCCTTCTATGGTAAAATGGAAAATGAAACCCTGCTTATAGGCCATTTGCACTAGGAGGTCATATGACATCATGTTAATATAAAATAAGTGAAAGTTATATGATTTTACCGTAAAAAAAGTGGAATGAATTGCTTAATGCAAGGTCAGGTCCTCCCTCCTAGCTGTTAGGGACGTTTCACCAGGAGAGATGTCCATGCCTCAGCGAAAGAAATTCCATGCTGATGACTTAAAATCTGTCCGGAATCTGGCCAGGAGCTCTGATTTGTTGACTTAGCAGTTATATTGTTTTAGCTATTATTTACGAATTACAGACAAAAGAAAAAAGGCCACAAAGGTCAAATATAAATGCGATTAATCTATATACAAAACAGTCAATAATTGTGCTCTTTGAGTTTTGCTCAAGCTCGCAAAACAACACAAAACCAGGAGAAACCTAACATTGAACAAATTAAAATCACTGATGTTTGCTCATGGATGATTAATGATAAGTTGATGTTGAATGATGATAAGACTGAGTTTCTGGTGATCGGCATGGTAGTGCATTCTTTTATCTGTTTAGTATCCAACACATATGGAAATACCTTACTAGTGAATATACTGAGAAACTGATTCATGCATTTATAATGAGTAGGTTAGACTATTGGAACAGTCTCCCTCCTCTAGCCCCCTTGCCATCTCCTCTTTCTTTTATCCTCTCCTTTCCAAATTAAAAATTGACACAGGTTTTGTTCATTTGATAGTTTATAATGACATTGAAAATTAACATTGAAAATTTGGGACACTTTAAAAGCCCATGTTCAGTTTACTTGATGTGATTATTCTTTTATTTAATGAGATAATAAAACAAAATGAAATGATTATCTCCCTCGAGTCAGGGTGCGTTTATCAGAGAGGGGCGTCTAATACTTACTTTAACGGCATAGATGGGGCTTTTGTTAGATAAGAGGCATTTATGTGGAAGTGGGCATTTATTAGGTCATTTACGGTAGTTATGCAAACATTGTTTTATGTCATCAGTGTGGAATTTCTTTTGTTGAGGCACAGATGTCTCTCCTGGTAAAATGTCCCTTCTGGGGAGGAGTTAGGAGAGATGGCTGTTTTCGCAGGCTTTAGTTTTCTCCTCATTTAATGAATGTTAATGGTTTTGATTTTCAGGGGAGGTGATAAATCCTAAAGATAGGTGTAAAAAGTGTCAGGGAAAAAAAGTATGCAAGGAAAGCAAAATTTTAGAGGTAAGGTGGTAAAGTTATTGCAAATTTATTGTTAATAAACATTTTAACTCCCAAGAATGCCATTGGTTACCATTAATTTTAAGAAAACAACATATGTAAAGTTTTAAATTGTTAAGTGGTGAGAAACAACATCAACACATGTAGTTCTGTGAATCTGTGCAAAAGAACAGCTGCAGCCAAGGAGCTTGCATTTTAATGGTCATTCCTTATGACTTTACCCACAGCTTGAAAAGTAAAAACAGAATTTCTTACCTTGGTCTATTATTTTGTTTATCATCTCAAATTACCAGAGGCAAGCAAAGTTTGACATTACCTTGCTCCTCAGAATTGATATCTTGGCTGGTTGTTTGAAATTGAACAAAATCTTGCCCTTTGGTTTGTGATAGGTTATTAATTTTACTATGATGAAGGTGTAGTTGCATGGTACATACACTTTGCATCATTAACTGTGCACCATATCAATAATTAATTTGATGTCTAAGACATCTCAGACAAAGATGTCTCGAATGTCTTTGTTATCTAGTATCCATCTATCTATTTTGGGTGCACCCGCACTGATTTAATAAGTCTGTCCCATTCCTGTCTGTTGACCTTGACGGATGCAAGATCCTCCCCTCAAAGACCAGTGTCACTCTCTAGCTGGAGTTGTCTAGTGTACATATGGGAAATGAGACAGATAAATAGTTCCAAAGTTAGATGTGTCATTTTGAGGCATTCTGAGACATCTTAGTGGCAGTGTAAAGACAGGAAGTACTTACCCCTTTATCCACATATAAATTACCTAGACTGAACTCCATACATGATGTTGTAGTTAATTTTTTATCTCTGGTAATATTTGTTTTTCCTTTTGTTTTTGGGTATGGCAATGTATGCTAATGAAGTTGAAACAAAGAATAAATAAGAATTACCTGAGATAAAATATTAACTGCGACATGCACATTTTCATTATGGAACTGGTTGAGAGAATTTGATAAAAGATCAAAGCACTTTTGCTGATCACATTATTAATTCTCATAGCCTTTTCTGTTGATGATTTATTGATACTATTAGGAGAAGATTAATGTTGATCACTCTTGGAACTTACAGGGTTAACATGCTCTTAACAGTCATATGTTAGATTTGTCCAGACCTTTTAGATGTTTCCCCCCCAGTATAAAATAGTCTGCAATTGATGAGTAAACAACATAAATTTGTTTTGGTAAAAATCTATTTTCAGGTCCATGTGGACAAGGGTATGAATGATGGACAAAAGATCACATTCAGGGGAGAAGGAGATCAGGAGGTAAATGTTGTAGCTATCCTTCAGTGGCATTATAACATCTGGCTTGAATCAGTGTTAGATTCTGCAAAACCCACCTACCTCTCCCTTTACCCAACAGGAGGTAGGTGGGCAGTTTCCCTGAATCAAAACTGCCCAGTTACTCCTCTTATAACCCAACATTTTTGCCTTAGTAAGAAGTTAGAGTTGACTTTGGAGTATGAGAGAGGTAGGTAGGCAGCTTCCCCGAGTCTCATACTGATCATCTGGTCCAAACAGCGCATGTCTTGTGTGCCACACCTAACTGGTGCATTAGGTTTGGTAGAAGTGAGATGTGAGAATCAGTGTAGATTGTCAGTTTTATTAATTTATGTTAAGTGTGAAGAGTAAATGTAGAGCAGTGTGTTCAGCAGATGCTCTTGCATTTTTCGACACTTGGAGCAGTGGCTGATTTGTACAACAGTTTTCTAAAGCTTTGACCCTGAATCATTAATTCATAAACTCTTCCCATAATTGTGACTGTTAGCAAATCCTTTTGGTAGATATCATATGGAAGGTTAGTTTGACTTAAGTATGTTTCCTGAATTAGTTGTTTCTTCAAAGTCCCTCTGAAATAAAATGTTTTCAAATGAGGTTCAGCACAAGACTATCCTGGCATTTGAACTAGGTTTTTAAGAATGGTTGAGAGTTTTCCTTGAAAACATTATCTGGACACCCTCAGGTTAGGGAAATGCAAAGCACTCTTGGTTTCATTATTTTGTTGTCAACTGTCAGAATTTACCATTTTTCTTTCTAATTCATATTTAGTTATCCCAGTGAGGTTTCAATACCAAATGCCCTATTGGCACAAGACAACAAAATCCTGAAAGAATGTTTTTACAAATTGTTGTCAAATGATTGCTTAGCACAAAAGGCTATTGCACCAAATTGTTTGATGTGCTTTTTAGAGGTACTGTTCTTTTAAGGCCCTTGGCCCATTTAACCATTTCTTTTCATCTTCTCACTCCTGTAGCCCAATGTTGAACCTGGTGATGTAATCCTCGTTTTACAACAAAAAGATCACGACTTATTTACGCGTCAAGGAGATGATCTCTTTATGACCAAGAAAATTCACCTTGCAGAAGCACTCTGTGGCTTTCATATGGTAATCAAGCACCTTGATAAGAGAGATCTGATTGTGAAATACCCGGCTGGTCAGGTTATAGAACCAGGTAAGGGCTCTTTTTGGGTTCGGACCTCTTCAGGTCCTTATTATCGCACCACATATAAATATACATGTAAGAGCACCTACAACCTAGTACAGATAAAAAGTTAGAGCCTTGAACATGGACATCTACTTGAGAGAATCAGAGCCACAATAATCAGAATTTTCCACTGCTGGCACAGCTTGTGATACTATGGCTTACAATTTAATAAAAACTACATTTGCAGAATTAGAATCAGAAAAAGAACTATGAACCAAACACAATAATTTTTTTTTATTCTCCTTCCCACATGTTGTGATTGGTTTAGTTCTTTCACTTCTGCTTATGACTTCATCAATCTTGAGTAGCTGATCTTAAGCGATGGAGTGGTAAGCAGAATCAGAATGCTCTTTTCACGAGATCAAAACACTGATTCTGTTGCTAGTGAAAACCAGCCTTAAGTCTTGACATTGATTCTAAGCAGGAGTCTGATCAATGTTTCAGCAAATCTTTGACTTTGCCATTCTGCTCCCACTCAAATTTTTTTAGGTGATGATATTACTAAATACATAATTTATCATAGTTTAATTAGTATTATTAAATTCAATTAAAAGAATGACTTAAATATTCTGTTTTATTGTGAATTCTTTGTCAGGTTGTATTAGAGGTGTAGTTGGAGAAGGCATGCCAGGGTACAGAAGACCCTTTGACAAGGGAAACCTCTATATCAAGTTCGAAATTGAATTTCCTCCAAACAATTTTATCCCATGTGACAAAATATCAGTGAGTATCTTTGATTTAGGAAGAGACTGCAGATAATGTGTTAGGTGGGATTTTCTGAAAGCTTACAATTTATGAGTGACCAGTTTTGACCTATAGAGGATATTACATGGCCATGTGGAGATATGAAATTTCTCTTTGAATGTTGAAAAATATTTCACGAGTGAGCGCAGCCAACAAGTGAAATATTTCGTATCTCAAAGTGGCCATTTAATGTTCTATTTATTATATAAACACCAGTGAAATGCCAAACCATTTCACTTAAATATTTTTTTGCTGCAAAAGTCACGATTTATAATGTGGCCATAGCAACAGTGACCTTTTCACATGTGAAAAATACCATGTAATTATTACCACACCCTTCTGAACCCCTCCCAAGTTGTTATGATTGCTTTGCAATTTTACCAAAAATAATGTTTTCCTAAATGACAGTGTTTGCTCATTGCTATAGCTACTTGAGTCCTTACTTCCATCTCGACCAAAGCAAGCTCCACCCGGGGAAGATGCAGAAGAGGTGGACCTCATGGAACTTGACCCAAGATATCACCAGAGAGAAGCCTATGAAGATGGAAGTGACGACGAATCTGGACATGGACCGCGTGTTCAGTGTGCACATCAGTAACAAAAGACTCTTTTCGGGAGCTTTTCCTTTGTTGTGACAGTTAAGACTTGTTCCTCTGAGGAAGAGGGAATTTTTACAAGGATTTACAAGTGGATTATTTCAGAGCAATATGAGAAAACGGTTGTGTGTCTGGACAGTTTAACTCAAGTACACGGTGACCAATTTTGTCTCACATAGAAGCATAATGTACAATAATGAAGCTTTCATATGGTTCCACTGGGTGGAGTCATTTGAGTGCTATGTTGGAAAAAAATATTAATTTTTAATTGGCTAGTACTAGCTCCCTGTGTATTGTCTTCCTGCGATTTAGCATTTTTAGCAGGGCTGTCATTACCTTTGTTATGTCTGAGTGGATGTTGCTCTTATCAACCTTTTCTTAACCACATAATATGTATCATAATAATATTATCAGGATTGTTTAAACAAAAATGTAGATGGCTCAAAGCACAGACTCCAAATCCTCTGAAAGCTTGTTGGTATTCCACTTTAGTTATTATTAATAAGTTATTATTGGCGGAGAGCCGTGATTACCTTTTGTAGGTGTGAAATAAGATATTATTGATTTGGGAACTGGTGGGTGGATGCTACCAATTTTCTAACAATGTTTTCTTTTGTCTTTATAGCAGTAGCCTGTTCATAGACCCTCTGTTTTCTCTTTAGCCCCTCAATTTCCTCATACAAATTCTCCAAACTGATCTCCATACATTTTAAAATTCTTAAAGAATTCCTTAAGAGAATTTGGCTGAAGATCAAAACATTTTCCTTCTTCATTGTTTTGTTAATTCTCATTACCTTTTGCCTTTATGATGAATTCATTTGGTAGGAGAAAATATTGATTTTTCTTGCTCTTGGGACTTTAAGGGTTAGAGATCATTGAGTCATTGTATGAAAATAAAAACTGCAGGGGATTTATTAAGCACAAGCACAAGTGGGTGGGTGGGTATGAGAAGAAGAGGTTCTTTCTTGTAATTTGCACTCACTTCACTTGTGTTAACCTGTGAGCAAGCTCTCCGGGTCTCTGGCAGTAGGGTGGGAAAAGGAGGAGAGCTTGCAGATACATCTCTCCAATTCCCCTGTGGCTCCCTGTCGACTTAGCTGTCAGATTTCCGCCAATCAAAATGAGCAAGAATGTGAACAAACTTTGAAAAATGCATTCCAAGAGTAATGATGTCATTACTAATGTCATCTCTGCCTATCAGCCTTTCGCATCAACTTTTTCAATGCAGATATTAAAATTCCAGAGACGCAGTCGTAAGCTCTCCTTCCTTTTCCCGCCCTGCCTCCAGAGCACCCTGGAGAGCTTGCTTGCAGGCTGCACTTGTGTGCTCAACAAATTACTCACCTGCTAAATTATTATAAATGTGGACAGGCTATTTTGTGGGGGAACAAAGTGTTTAACAGGAACCTTTTAAGGTAGGGGAAAATATTGCCTCAGCATTCTCAAAAATTATACATCTAACTTAAATTTTTAAGTATGTCATTTCCGCAGAGGAGCTGAAGTACTGACCCCCTGTTGTAGAGTGTTTTTCTTTCCTTGACGGGTCAAATACTGATGAATTAAGTAACACATTAACTCACATTTGCTACTTCAGATATGGGTTTGGGTTTTAATTTGGGCTGTCAGCCTTTTGGGCTTTTAGTTTTAGTGTTAAGACATTTTCATGGACGGTGGAAATTTTCTGCATTAATTTTACACTGCTCCATAGCTAAAATCCACGTGTACATGGACGTGTACACTACACCTTGTTGGGCACAGGCCACAAAACATTTTAATACAAAAGATCAATGCCACTCCAGGGTCAGTTACCATGACAACTGAGTTGCCATGGTAACTATCCCTTGATTTTGTGAACAACTTGGCCAAGGTTTTGTTTCTCGCATTTTGTTGTTGTATTAATAATTTATTATAACAAGCATTGTTCATTTTTTTTAACTCACTCAATTTTAAGTTTCTTTTTCTTTACTATTTTTATATTTCTTTGTTGCATGATCATTAGTTAACAACAATGGAAGACAAAAATTGAATGAAAGATGAAATTGAAATGAAACTTTTTAAAAACTTTCACTCTTACTGCCAGACAAAAGAAATACCAAAGTGGTTTAATTTGAATGTCAAACCATAGAAATGAATCCACAGACTGAAAAGTTAGAGGCAGTTTTTGCAGCATGATAAATAATCCCTTGTACAAGTACCACTGAAGAGTATTTATTCGGATAGTTTCACTGTAGGATCTGATCCACAGATCAAATTTAGATCCTTTTATACAAAGTAACAAATAATAGGATACGAAAATACAGCTGAAAATGTTTTTTTTTTATTATATGACCATGAAATTGTCTTTCTTTTTCTGTCTTAATTGCTTTTGTTGGTCCTTTACCTTAACCTCGTGTGGTTTTGCAATAGACTTATTTAGTAATGATATTGATAGGGCTGTTTATAGATAGTGCTAGGTGATTATCCCTTGTGTAAGTACTCGTTTTGTTCCTCAAGCATGCAAGCATGCAAGTTTGACTGGAAGGAGTAATTAGCAGTTTATTAGAGGGATTTTTTTTCTAGGTGCCTTGTGATCAATTTGTCTTAAAAATCCTTCTAATAAACTGTTAAAAAGTGAAAGGGTTAAGTCCTCAAAAAGCAACTTCTTTCTTTACACCAGAAAAGGTAAATGACAACCCTGTTTTAAATGTTGCCAACTTAACGTCTTCTTTAAACATGGAGCGATCCTAGCTACTGTGACCGAGGTATTCATCCATCTGTTACAAATGCTGGAAGGTTTCTTGCTCCACAGAATCCATAATATCTTTTGTGAATAAATTTATTTCTATTGAAAAACAACAGAACTGCCACTGTGCTTAGTCCTTCAGTGGGTGATTAAACTAATGTAGGCTTAAGTACCATGACAACTTGTGCGCTCTGTTTACAGTTGATTCGAGATTATATTTAAATGTGACCTTGTTTTCTTAACCCTTGAAAGCACAAATTCTCTAAACTGACTTCCATACATTTCCTTAAAGAATGTGTTCAGCGAATTTGATAAACGATCAAGGCATTTTCTCTTTGGTGATCATTTTATTACTTCTCATAACCTAATCTCTTGAATGTATGGATATCGTTAGGAGAAAATTGATTTTGGTCACTTTGGAACTTAAAGGGTTAAACAGAAGCAGAAGGTATGGTTTTCATCCCATGTAAGGTAATCCACAACAGTGTTGGATTGTGTATTCCATGCTGTGGATTCTGAAGTCCGGGTACCTGGTTCAAGTAGTCCAGTACCTCAAAAGAACCTCTAATTTAAGTGGTCGTGTAAAACAATATTGCCTTTTGTGTTGAGGGTTAGGGTAATCTAGATTCCTGTCAGTGAAATCTGGATTCGGTTTTCAATTGTTAATTGGATTACAGATTTCTGGAACTGAATGCAGATTCCAAAGCCCAGGAATCCGGATTCGGGATCCTGGATTACCTTACATGGTGCAAGGTTTTGCTAAATCCACTCAACTCGGCTTTTACAGACTTGCTTTAGTTTTTCTTAAAAGAGGCACAGCTGGCCTGTTGATCTTGCACTTTGCAAAATTTGAATTTCCTTGCATGGAAGAGTCTTTTATAATTGCTGTGGTACTTGGCTTAAATTATTATAACATTCATACGTTAGATTGTTTTAAAAATTCATAATACTATCATGGATGATCCCATTCACCATTTGCACATCTCCCATAATACACCTTGTTTGCCCCCCCCCCCCCCCCCCCCCCCCCCAAAACCCAAAAATGTTTTTTTTTTTCTTTTTTTGGGCCTCTTTACCACCCCAAAAAAAAAAAAAAAAAAAAAAAAAAAAAAAAAAAAAAAAAAAAATAGGGGGGAAAAAAAAAACAATAGAAGAGATATGATAAAAGATGAACCATTTTCTTATCTTTTACAACTTTTTTTTTTTTATAAATGGAGATCCTCCTTTCTTAAATTGAGAGACCTTTTTTTCAAGGTCCAATATTTGTTGATTTAAGATTCAATGACATGCTTAAACGCCCTTAAAGTAAGCAGCTTAAAATTTCCCTTGAAAATATCGGAGTTCAAGTAAACTTTAAGATCAGAAGACCGGTTTGCTGGCTACGATTTGTTGACCTGATTTTGAAGCGTACTGGATCTCGAAAATTAGTCAAATTTAAGTCATAGTGTGAAAATTGGTCGCTGCGTTGGGCTGACAGATTGTTAGGAAAGAAAAACTCGTATACGTGTAAGCCGGTCTTAAGAATAAAGGAAGTGATAATACTTGTCTAAATTCTTAAAACAAATTCTTTTCTTAAACACCAAATGAAATAAATGGAAAGTATTCTTTAGAATTTTATTTTTTGTGCGTTATCAACGTTGATGTACATGTTGCAAGGGCTAGTAGTTAAAATTAGTGTGTTCCTTTTGCTGTTTTGCTCCGTATTTAAATGATAAGACATTCCTCAAGCTTTTGGAACATTTTATTAAAATATGTAACGTAACCCGTTTAAGCATAGTTGGCTGGCTAGTACCCAGTAAAGTTCAGTGCCTAAGGTGGTTGGCATCATTCTTTCATTTAAAATAAACATCAATGTACATAAAATGATTGAGATAATATTTTCAATTAAAATGGGATGTCTAGTAATGCAAATATGAAACACTGTAAAGAGAATCCCCCTAGTCAGTTTTAAAGTATGTTGTCTGTAAACCCCTTTTAACATCAAATTGAGATATAGGTATGGTGTAAGATTCACAATGTGAGACATAATATCTTTAATTAATACACAGCTGAACAACAACAGCTTGACGGCGCTATGTTACGAGGATATTGCTGTTAGGTCAATTCCCGGTGAGGGGAGTACTAAATAGTTGTTTATACGGGGAGGCTCCATCCCAAGTTCTAACCCCTTACCCTTTTATATACCATTTTTCACGAAAAAGGTACCCCCTTCGTATACCTTTTATTGACAAATGGTACCCCCTTCACATACCTTGTTTAGAACTTTGCATCCCTTTTAACTGCTGTAAATGCACTGTCTTTTAAATAGGAATCAATCACACAAATAAAACTTCTGGACTTAAAAAAGCCATAAAATTCATCTGTTAGCCCTTTTGGACCCTTTCACAGACCCAAATGACAGATTTCCCTACCCTTTTATAAACTTCAACGAGTGAAATCCCTACCCTTTCATATACCTAATGTTGTCTGTTTTCTCAGGCTACAATCCATGTCAATCCTTGCCATTCATAACAAGAATGAAAACAACAGTTTCGCCTAGCTTAAGTCTTCAGTAACAAAACAAGGCCATTATTTTTGGAATTCACTTGATCACAAGGCACGTTTTAGCCCCGTTTTAGCCCCGTTTTAGCTTCTTAAAACGGTGCCATATAGCGTGACGATGCCCCCTCAAAGAGGCGATTTTATTGAGGGAGAGGTGTAGTTTTAATTGGCTTGATAATTACTAAGTCAAGACCTTTTGCAAACGTGGAAATTCTTCCTAGCTGGTGGATTCTTGAAAATTCTTGTTGGCTCAAATTCTAAAAAGGAAAGAATTACTGTCGTTTCTGAAAATAGTTATGAAGCTTACTTTTTGGTCAAAATTTCAGTCAATTTATACCCTGCGAGCAGAGGCTACATTTTTGCGGTATGAGCTGGTGTGCGAAAAGTAGCCTCTGTCGTTCAATTTTCTATCGTGCATGCGCAAAATTCGTCACGCGATTCGCAATTCACTCGCAAGCAACTGGTTCATCAAATCTGCGTGAGTTTCGCGGGAATCAAACTTGCGAAAACTACCTGCGAACTACTCTCCTCGAGCTTTTGTTTTGTTTTTCTGCTTCGCCCCTTCTGGACCTTCTGGTTTTAAGCCGCAAAATTTCCACGGATCGTCTTTTTTAGGAAAGTATTTTTATGCTATCAACTGTAGTAAGTTTAATTTATTCGTCCAGATTTCTGGACGGATTTGAACGGTTGTCGGCAGAGGCTACTTTTCGCACTCCAGCTCATACCGCGAAAATGTAGCCTCTGCTCGCATGGTTGTCAATTTAGGTTGCTAGCTTTCTGTTTCTTTTAGTTTTCTTTTTTTCTTTAATAAGTACACACCTCAGTTTTTTTTAAAAATTCATTCACTCTAGTCCTTGTGCCACTTCTGACGTCATCGATTTTTCGTAACTCTAACCTTCCTAGTCTCCTTCGCAGCCGTTATTAGGGTCGTCACTCGTCACGCAACGCTCCTCGAGGAGCGTTGCGTGACGAGTGACGACCCTAATAACGGCTGCGAAGGAGACTATAACCTTCCGGGATCATTGAGTGACAAGACAAGAATTTTACATGAAAGAAGAGCAAAAAGTGTTTTTGTTTGGTTGTGTGTTTGCGTGTTTTCTCAGACTGCCTCTCAGACTCGTTGATAAGACGGAAAGGGGGCAAGTGAACCCCACCCTTGTGCTTTCCCTTTATGTGGTAAGGGGAGAGTACTCTCGACTTTTATTTTGGTCAGTTTTTAAGCTTACCTATCCCATTATAAGTAAGCGGAAGAGGAGAACAAAATGTTTTCAGAATCTCATTAAATCCAGGCAGGAGCCCATCCAGGAATATTTTAGACAAAACTCCGTAAGAAGACAAAGTGAAAGCATCCCTGACCTGCAGGGGCTCATAAACTTCTCCCACTCCTCCCCGATTAAACTTTTCTCGACCTCAAGTACTTTTGTTTCAAGTGGCCTCATGGGATACGTTGAGAACAAAACAATATGGCGGCGGCCGGTATTCTACGAAATTTGAAAGATGTGGCTCTTCGAACGATAGAAGGCTTTGCACCTGAGCTTTATCAGCTTAACCAACAAATTTGGCGGAAACCAGAACTCTGCTATCAGGAGAAATACGCTCATGAAGTCCTCACAACATTCTTCAAGGACAAAGGTTTTGAAGTAACAAAGCACTACACACTAGAGACGGCATTTCGCGCGTCCAGTGGTTCGTGTGGAAAGAGAGTTGTGGGTTTGATTTGTGAGTACGATGCACTGCCGGGTATAGGGCATGCCTGTGGACATAATCTTATCGCTGAAGTTGGAGTAGGTGCTGCGTTAGGTAAGTAAATTTGATAAATATAGGCCATTTGCGGCAGGACTTTTCTGCGGGTGGCGGGTGGCGGGTGACGGGTAGCGGGTGGCGGGTGAGGGTAGCGGGTGACGGGTGACGGGTGGCGGGTGGCGGGTTAAAAATATATATGAAAATAAAATGTTATAACTCGTTATAGTGTAATTGATTTTGATATAACTGTATGTTGTAATTTTAAAATAATTTCAACGTTTATGTACTAGCTACCAGACTCCAAATAAAAGTATTGTCTTGTTTTGTCTTATCTACTTACACGGACTAAAAATGGAAAAAAAAAAAACGAGAAATCATGCCTGTGAAAACAATCACCTCTCCTAGCTCCGCACCACAAGTGATGTTTCGTCAGGCTACACGCGGTGTGTGAAATGAAAATGGGCTATGTCAAGCAAGACACATAGCACGTGTCGATCTTGTTTGTCTAGTTTGCTTTTTCTTCCACATCAAGACGAAAGATGATTGCACTTCCCCAACTGTTTAGCCGTGTTTATAACAGACTGCAAGAGATTCGGCCTTCTGTGTCGTAGCTCAGTTTTTGCCCTAGTATGCGGCATGATTGCCATCCTAATCAGTATTTTTAAGTAGTATTTAAAAAATGCAGATCCTTTTTGTATATATATACAGTGAGATCAATTCGTGTCCAAGACCCAACATCGGTGAAAACGGTCCATGCTGTGCCAAAAACATTGTTGCTCCTTCTCTGATACGTATTAACATTGACAGCTTTGTTGCTTTAGTCTTTGGAAAATTTCCTTGTTTTCTCGAAATATACATTTTGTTCATTTTAAACTACAAGTCGGGAACCAAATTGGCAAAGATTTATCCCACGGGCAATGCAATGTTTATCCCAACTTATAACAAAAGAACAAACACACTTGTCAAAAATCTGAGACACTGGTCAAACATGTCGAGAAGAGAATGCGATCTTACTTGTTTGGTCGCAGGATGAAAATAATAATATTACTATTATTATTAATTTTTATGAGTTCCTCAAGCTATCTCGTGCATGCAATATCGTGTAGAAGAATATTGCTAAAATATCGCTTTTTGTAATTTTTATTATTGTTTTTCTTTTTTTGGTTTCCCCTTGTTATTTTTATTATTTTTATTTTTTACGGTCTGACCCACCACCCGCTACCCGCTACCCGCTACCCGCTACCCGTCACCCGCTACCCGCTACTCATCTACCTGGTACCCGCCACCCGTCACCCGTCACCCGCCACCAGTCACCCATCACCTGTCACCCGCAGAAAAGTCCTGCCGGGCCATTTGCACAAAGAGGTCATGTGACATCATTTTTATGAAAATAACAGTTTTATGATTTTGCCTTCGAAAAACGGTCAGTGGGTCATATCTTAAACAAAATAGTAGTAATTTAGTTTCTTGAAACCCGCACCATTTTCTTGAAATGAGTAAGTTCGTAGCTGGTCGTAGCTGAACAGAAATTTTACACTTAAACTTCAAGGAAATTGTTGAAAAGATGATGTGGTAACATTTTCAGCACATCTGTGCATAACTATCAAACATTTAACAAGATACAAGCAAAAAGTAGTTTGGTGGTCATGTTGGAGGGCAAGAGTATGCCCTCCAACATGGCAGCCAATAGAAATCATACTACTTTGTTGAAAAACCAAAGTGCCATAAACTACTTCCCT